CTCCTACCTACTTGTACAAGATTATTCACTATTTTTTCTTCCAAAGTTTAGTTTCTAGTTATGGAATTTAAATCCATACTCCATGCAACTAGATCCATAAAATAGACAGTTCCCCACAAACACAGAAATATTTTGATCCCAACCTGTGCTGGACACTGAAACCATTACCATCACCCTCATCTCCAAGGTTTCAGATTGTAGTTTGTTGAGTGATCTTGTGTGACGGGCACTTTTGGAAGTGACTACTGTCTTGGAATCCCTGAAAACTGACTTAATAGAAATTTAACTTTAAAAGGAAAACAGCACCCTACTGTATAAAAACTGTTAATCATTCACACATAGTAAATATCTAACTTTTCCACATCAGGGAGATTGGAACTCACAATCCCATGAAAAACAACTAAACACGTCACAGTCCGATGCATAGTAGCAATTTGCTTTATGGAATCTACAACAGAGCTACTTCTGAAGTACCCATCCCATACTTCAGCCATTCTTAAACACCTGGACTCAATCACCCCTTTCCCCCAGCTTTTGAATACTGTCAAGATCCCCCCCCAATCAAAACCCAGGGTCTTGTTTTACACAAGAGTCTTGACAGCAACAATCCTTTACCAGAATTTGCCAGAAACTACTTGGCTTGTTTTCCTAAATTTAAGTGAGAAAGTACAATCCCTTTCAATTTCTTTTTTTCAAAAAAATTAAGAATTGTGGCCTTGAACCTTGAAGAGAATCTGAGAGGGAATTCTTGTGGTTTTTAGCATGTTCTGGTTTTTAGAATGTCCTGCCTGAAGTCTAGCTAGGAAACTGGAGGAATTCTTTTGAGAATCCTGCCTTGTGATGCAGGAAGTCATTGGATTGGGAAGAAATAGGCTGGCATATTTTGCCTGACAACCAATTGTCCTCGAATTGCACCGTGAAATACACATAGTGCAGGATGGTAGAATTGTTGTCCTGTGGTGCATCATATTGAATTTCTGGGATGTCTGGAGAGAAAATAGCCTTAAGGTTCCGCTGTGAATGAGCTCTTACAAGTTAGCAGGGTAGGGCTATCATTCCTAATTGTTTTCCTCAGAAGTCCCCAACACAGTCACTTTCACTTAGACCAGCTACGGAATTATTCTAGCATGTTCGCTCCTTCCTGGCTTTTCATCGTTTTTAAAGATAAAAGGATAAATGAAAATAAACTCTGGATGTTATTCCTAAAGAGAAGGGTGCGCTTTATGCATTCGGGAAGGAAGGAAAGGCTGCTTTTCACCAGCATCTCTTCGCTGCAATGTCTCCATCCCACCAGAAGGTTTGACATTTATTTTTGTCAAACTGAGAACAATGGATGCCAAAAACTTATGCCCTTTAAGAAAAGTTTGCAGAGGTGGAGGAAGGCTGTCAAGCCCTAAAGTAGCAGCCTTTGTTCTCCAGGCCGCCAAAGGCGGGCGATGGTCGGTTCCGCTGTTGCCCTCCCCGATCAGACTTTTTGCCTTCGAGCGGTGGGCGCAGGAGAGTCAGCGCCCATCCACCCTCCCCGGCCATATGGCGAGCGGCGCCTCGAGGCTTTCTGCTGATTTCGGCTCCCCCACCCCACCGCCGCCCTTCCCTGGGACTCAGCACCGGCCTGCGGGTTTCTCACTTAACCCTACTGGGCCTGGGGAACTGCAGCATCGCGCGTCATCCGCTCCCGATTGGCGGCCCTTCGGTCGTCCGGCCCTGCCCTCGTTCACTCCGATTGGCAGAAGGAAGGGAGCCCGCCTCGCTTTCCTGGAAAGTTCTTGGAAATCTATCAAAGGTATTTCCTTGAACGGAGAGAGCGAGCGGAGGCAGCGCTGAATTAAAACGGAAAAACACGCAACTTTTCCAACCATTCGGCGCAGCTCTCTCGACACGCTTCCCTTTCCACCCGAGGGATGCGTTTTTTGAGGGGGGATTGTTTCTGACCTTAGGAGACCGCAAGCCTGAAACGAAGGAACCTCGAACGGCCCCTTCTATTTATACTTTTCTTTCTTTTTTGTGTGTGCCTGTCGGAACACTGATGTGAATACAATACAATTCCAAGAATCCACCACTTCCTGGAATAGATTAATAGGGCGCAAACAAAAGATTACGGACTAGTGCTTCTCCCCTTCCGCTCCCCGCGATCCGCATTTCTTGAAGAGCCGGCGTCGAGGCGAACGGCTGCTAGGTGTCCGCTCGGCTCTTCTCCCCGAACTTTTGTTTTTTGTTTTTTTTTTACGCGGGGAGAGGTTATTTATTCAGACAGGTATTTATTGTTATTTTTAATTCTAGTTTTTATTCGCGGCGACTTTCCACGCCACCGAGGAGATTGTTTTTAAAGTGAATGTATTGCCATGTTTTAAAGCTCAGCCGGAGTTTACAGGGAAAAAAGCTACGAGGCAGCGCATTTTTCTGCTGGTAACTTGGTGCGGGGAAGATTTCTCTGAAACTACCTGCAGCTTCTTTTCTGTAGGTGATTCTTGAGTGCGTTTCACAGAAAGCTTGTTCGGAAAACTTCTGGATTTCTGGTAACTTGCGGACGGACTGTGGCAGCCTTCTGTTTGGGAACAAAGAAGAAGCGCGGCTTCCCCCCATTTCTCTGAAGATTTGATGCTCTTTCCTGAATCTTGGAGTGACATGATCCTCTGCGTTCAAGGGTAAGTTTCCTTACAAACAATGACTTTTTAAAGCACACACACACACAAGTGGAATCCTCTAAAAGCTTGCTCTGAAGTCAGTCCTGTTTTCAGGACTGACTCCAGCTCCCTAGGATTAGACAACCACAAGAAAAGGACAGCAAATGGATTCTCCTACCCATCTAATGGTCATTTCTAACCTATCAAGAGTCTTCACGTTGTTCTGTACTTTTTCATTTAAAGCAAAGCACCTTAGTGACTAGCTGTGTGCACCCCCACACTTAGAGATCTTTGAAAATTAGGTAGCTATAAAGAAATAGAAAAATAAAAAGGCCTTCCCGGATGTATGTCTTCTAAAGTGAAATGTCTTTAAATCTAACTGAGCTGAAAAGAAGGTGGGGCAACCATCAAGAAAAGAATTCCAGATCTGAACTGGGCTAGAGCACTTCGCTTTGAATAGCAAAGATACCTGATTTGAAATGCCAAGCCATTACGTTATTTGTTATGATAGAATAAACCAACACAGATTATTAAAGTGGATAATAGGTGAGTGCATATGCATATGTGCCAGAGAAGTCAAACTTACAATGGCTACATGTTTATTTCAGCGTGACTATTCAGAAGTTATGGCCATTGAACCAACTTATAAATGAACGTGTACAGAAATGCTGCTCTTAGGGTAATACACATTGGACTAACTGGGTCATTTTTGCCTTCAGTTTAATCTTTTTCAGGTTCTTCTCTTACTATTATAAATGTTTCTAATCACGAATCCTGTGTATTTATATGTTTACCCAGCCTAACATTTATTGTTCCTTCGGGTCATTTATAAACAAAATAATTACATTGGTTCATTGAATCATATATGGCAGGTCCAACAAACTACTAAAAGTTGTTGGCAATTTAAAGCTGTTCTAAATAAGTATTTTTTTATTTCTTAAATGTTACAAAAATTGGATTTTTCCTTTGGGTTTTTGTTTTATCATATTAGACATACTGCAATCACATTTGTTTGTTTTTTATATTTGGAATCCATGTTATGCTTTTTATACTATATCTGCTTCTGAATGCTGGATTAAAGTTATAGATTTATACACACCATCCTGCAAGCACTATGCTGAATTACATTAGGCTTACTTAGGCATGTACTGTAAAGTTGTATTTTAACTGTGGTAGTAGTAATGTTAATAGAAGGAGTTACATAATTTCTATATGTCCCTCTCTTGCTTCACCATTTAATTGCTTCTTGAGCTAATGCATCACTTTGGATGCATTGCACTCTCTAGAGCTGGGTTTCTCAACTTTGGCCATTTAAGATGTGTAGATTTCAGTTCCCAGAATTCCCCAACCAACATGGCTGGCTGCAGAATTCTGGGAATTGAACTCCAGACATCTTAAAATTTTCAAGGTTGAGAAACACTGCTCTGGAGTGATAGTACAGAAAGCCAGTATTTTATCACAGTGAAAATGAGAATGGCCTAGTAACCCCCCGTAAACTTTCTAGCTGCACTGGGATTTGAATGTGAATGTTTTTAAGGCCAACTTTGCCAACTGCAGCAGACTTTTTTCACCCTGGTGTACATACTTTCCTGGTTCTTTCAATCTTCAATTTGACAGTTCTCTTTGTTATTCAGCAGCTTGTCCTGAAGCTGTTTTGGCTGCTGTGGAGTCTTTCCCTGGAAGGTTCTCTTACTCTAGGTGCATAATTCAATATTGATAGCCACTGTGTCATATAGTTGAACTCATTCTAGGATGTTTCCTAACCTACAACTCTGCAGTCTCTTTCATATTCCCAGTGGATACTTCTGCATATACAATTTCCCTCTCACAACTTTGTTATGTCCTGCCATTTAATGAAGAACAAATCTGCTCTTTCCCTTTTCTCCTCCTTTCCCACACCAAGGAACCAACCCCCGCCCCCCAAATAACCTGTGGAGTATTGAGCCCCAAGGGGTTCATTGCTTGCGGCATATAGATCAAGACCCTAAAAACAAAGAAAACATACAAGAAACATCTCATTTAAGCCCCTCACCCAAAAAATAATTAAAATGAACTTGTAACTAGTTTGGTTTTAGGAGTAATACAACTTTTAACTCCCTTATTTGACAGTTACATGAGCAAACAAGAGGCTCTTTGCCCTCACTAGTTATCCAGAAGAGTTTTTACTCCGAGAATCCCTAGCCAAGAAATTTATTTACTCAAGAAAATAAGATGGTTTACAATGGCATGTGCCCTCTTCTCCTCTTGGCAAGGAAGCCCTGAGATTGCCAGTGCCAACCACACTACTTGCCTCGTTAATTGTGGGAGTGAGACAGTATAATTACTTCATTTTCCACTTATTCATGACTATGAACATTCATTTACAGACCAGCAATAGCGATGGAAAGAACAATGACTTTAAATGGTGTACATGATGAGTCCATGTTGGGGGGGGAAGGGCAAATGGCACTGAAAACCCACCGACAAGAGCAGATTCAGGATTCTTCTGTTTCTTTTCTTCTGCTCCTGAAATATTAAATGTTAAGGAAATGAGGAAGATTTCATTGAAAGATGTGTCTTGCTAACGTTTATAGCTTTAGGTATTTACCAGCAGTAAATGGAGACTATAATGAGTAAAAAAAGTCAAGACATCTGAAATAGACCAAAGTATTGTAGAGGATTAATAAGAGGAAAAGGTTAATTTTTGTCTCAGATATAGATTTTGTCCTCAGGGACAAAAGGGGTAAGGTTTAAAGCCTCAGGTGAAAACATAATTGCTCCAAAACGACAGCATCAACATAATGTCAAAGACCCCAAATTCCCAAAGATCCTAGGAATAGCAGCAGTGATCTTTATGGGTTATCCTTTGTAGGATTATTTGAGGATTAGAGATGGTTAGTGATGGTCTTTCTGAAGAAATAGTCTGGAAACCTTTCATCCCTACTGTATATTTTGTTGACTCATTTGCAAAACAAACAAACAAAAATCCTAAAACGTCACCCTCCCAATGTCTTGTTTTCTTGCCTGTGTATCATACCCACTTTAGAGAACTAAAGATAGAGAGGTGTGTGTGTGTGTGTGTGTGTGTGTGTGTGTAGAGAGAGAGAGAGAGAGAGAGAGAGAGAGAGAGAGAGAGAGAGAGACCTAATTGCTCGAGTCAATGTAGATTGGGGTATCAAACGAGTGACATCGAGCTGGCCACACCCACCCCAGCCCCCCAAAGTCAAACACAACCCTGATGTGTCCCTCAATGAAATCAAGTTTGGTATCTTTGATGTAGATATTTTTCCTAAAATCAGCAACAGAATCAGAAATAGAAAAATTCTTCTGAATAGAAGAATCAGAAATAAATAATTAACCCAATTAGGATACTGAATACAGATACTATTTCTTAAATGGAGAGGAAACTATATCAAGTTTGTAGACACAAGCTGAATTTCAGTGTGTACCATTTTAATTATTCCAGATTTTATCTAGAGGTTGATTTTTAATCACATTTGTCATTGCATCTCCTTTCTCGCTAGACACCAGGAAGTGTTTTCTAGAAGTGATTTTTAAGTTCTCATTTTCCATTTCCATTTTAGTGAGATGAAAAATGCTTATTGGTCAGGAAGTGGTAAAATTTAATTTCTTAATAAGAAAGTTTTCAGTTCCTAATGGATGGTTTTACTTTATTTCTGCTTTTATTTGACCCATAGTTGAACCTGAGTATTAAACTGGAATAATTGCAGAGGAAAGAAAAAGGCTGAACAGAGGGTAGGAAAAGAAAATAGGAGATAGCACAGCTTAAAAATTTAACCTTAACCCCTGTTTTCACTGGTAACATATTCATATTGCAATTGCACACAATCAGTACTGGGGTATTATTTTAACTATTCAAAAGAGAAACTATATACTGTAAGCAAAGCAGAAAGGTATAGTACTGTTACTTGTGGGCCCGTTATGTTTACAAGGTTGAATGATAACTAAACTGGGGAGTGAGAATGATCAAGTTTCTATTAATGGAAATATTTCCAGTTTTGTGAGCAGTTGGAAATAATTGTTAATGCATTTATCAGGTAGGAGAGAAAGCGCCAGTAGCAAAATACAACTGTGTGAAAGTCTTTTGAAACTCAGTGCCCAAGAATATCCTGTTACATCTTAGACAAAGTTGGAGATTGGCATTGTGTAAAAAATGCTTCTTTAAAACACTAAAGCAGTTTCACACAATCTGGAATGTTTAAGTGGCTCCTTAAAAGTCACCATGTGGCAATGTGTTTGCCTGAAACCAAATTGTCAAGCATGCAGCTGCAAAGAGAGCCAAATATTACTCCATAAGGTTGAGTCTTGCTATGAGGATTGACAGTGGTCACCTGGATTGGATGGTACAGGAAACCAGATGTTCATGTAATTGGAGCCATTATAGGGTTATCAGGGTATAAATGGTCTATAAATTGCCATTTCATATCATCCCAGGAGAGAGCCGTTTGACTTTCATCTTTCATTTACACTCTATTAAATAGTCACATTTATTTTCATACCAATTTTTGGAGGAAATCCTACCAGTATATATATCATAATGTTATACTTCCTTATTAAATTAAATTTAGGGGATTATCTTAAAATTGCAGAGAAGCTAACATCACCAAAAGTCCAATGAAAAATTCCATTGATCTAAGTGGAATATCCTTTGGAAGAAATATGCATAACCCTGCACAGACGGAAACCATGATAATATAAAATATAGGATAATAGTTTAGCATAGAGATATTTTTTGACTTCATAGTTGGCTCACACACGTTCCTACATTTGTTATTGTGAATAATAAATTTACTTATTGTCCGATTCAGGTAAGATAGTCTTTTAAAAGATCAGTAACTTTAAAATATAGGAAACAAAGAATTTTAAAAAAGTTCCTGGGAGTGCATTGTGTTTTTTCTTTATCTTTTTGTAGTACCATACTTGCAAAGCATCAAGATGGATTTTTAAATTTTATCCAAATTTTACCTATTGTGTTGGAAAACACTAAAACACTGTCTCATTTTAAAAATAAAAGGACTGATAAGCGAAAAACTTCTGTAAGCATAAAAAGAGTAAAGAATCCTGAACCCAATTATTTTCTTTGTTTTGCTTTAAATGGGTTACTGCCATGAATACAGTTGCCTTGTTTGTGGGAAATGAACTCTAATGTAACTGTACAATTCAATGTATGTGTTCTCAAAAATACAAAAGACGCTGCGCTTAGTGATACATCCATTTCATCTAGAAAAGGAATAATCCAAAATGCTCTTCTTTTCAGATCCTATCCTTTGGTATCAGAGGAGAAACTCCGGAGGCTACCTGTTGAAGGCCTTGCAGTGAATGTGTCAGAACAGGTCATGCAGCCTCTCTCAGTCACGTCCTTCCAAGAACAGTCTGCCCCTCCCTTGGTAATGCCCAGACTTGAAAGCAACTCACCTCAAACACGAGACCCAGAGGAAGATCTGCTATGCATTGCCAGAACATTTTCATTTCTGAGAGAATCTGGTAAGGATCCAATTGGTACTTTTGACCCTTGGAATAAGAATTTATTGTATATTGTTAAAGTGCCCACTTCCTTGCTGATGAGGAAAGTATCTATATCTCCTTTAGGGCAACCTGGATTTTAAAGGGCAGAATTCCAAAAAGGCAAAATGACTCCCCACTATAGTTGTGTAGGGCTGCAATTCTGTAGCTCTTTGTCTGCAAACAAGCCCCACTTAACTCAGGGACATTTCCACAGCTCCTTGAATATATCATCCCAAAGCTGACTTCATAAATGTAAATGTAAATATCTATGATACTTCCCCTTATGATAGTGACTAAACAATATTACTTAGGGAGGGAGTGTACAATAACTACCACTTGAGTTCACAAATATACATATGAACATGTTAATAAATTAGAAAATGAATCAATAAATGTTTCTTTTCCTGTTTTTTTAAATGAATAGTTTGTCCTTCTTATCCATGTCTTTTCTCGGATTCTCTTCTAGGCTGGTATTGGGGTTCTATTACAGCCAATGAAGCCAAGCAGCAGCTCCAGAAGATGCCAGAGGGGACTTTTCTGGTACGGGACAGTGCTCATCCCAGCTACCTGTTCACACTATCCGTAAAGACCAACAGAGGCCCTACCAATGTACGCATTGAATACGCCGATAGCAAGTTCCAGTTAGATTCCAATTGCCTCTCCAAGCCTCGGGTTTTGGCCTTCCCAGATGTGGTTAGTCTCATTCAACATTATGTTCTTTCTTGTACTGTGGAGAGCAAGAGTGATGCTCCCTACCCACCTCCCATGCCTTTGCCTCCCCCACAAAAGGAGATGATCGCATCGGCAGTACATCTAAAGCTCATCCGGCCGCTCAGCCGCAAGGACATTGCCCCCAACCTGCAGCATCTCTGCCGACTACAGATCAATCGTTGCACTGGAAAGACAGACCAATTGCCTCTACCAAAGAGAATGAAGGACTATTTGAAGCAGTACCCTTTTCAACTTTAAAGGCAGCCAGTCTGACTGAGACAAGCAACCAAAATGATGTTGAAAAACATCAAATTCTGGCAACAGATTGACTTTGATCCATTGATGACGTTATGTACTTAAGTGGGCACGATATATTAAATTGCCAAAGGAAGAGACTGTTTTTCCCATCATCCTCTCCCTTATTTTTCTCTGTTACCTAAATTCATTCTCATGCCATGGAGGAGGCAGTATGCACAAGGTACACAAATCCAAGGCCAAAAGCTCAAGAAGGCACTTCTCTTTCTCTGCAGAAAGGAACTACTCTTGGCATGTGCAGACTACTTGAATTGGCAGAATTGTGCCAGGAATGTTCAAGCCTCAGAACTGTATTATTTATTCCCATGGTACTCTTTTTTTTCTTTTGCTATTTCTGAGTACATATGAATATCCTTCTTTTACTTTTGCAAGCAAATTATTTAAAGATGGGCTCAAACCGTAACTATGTAAGACAGTCTTGCGGTAGTTCATTATGGACTTGAATGAAGTCTTCTGGCCATTCTATACTCTATAACCTGTCTTGATGTATTCATACTCAGATATAAGATAAATATATTGGAAGTGTATAAAAGTTTGATTCCAGTTACAATCAACATCCAGACTTCAGTCCCCATTAGATTGACAAAGAGATAAACTTATTCAAGCTTATTGGAGCTTAGATAAGTAAGCCCTCTATTTTCTCTCCCTTTTTGAAGAGGCTATTCCTAATCTGAATCAGTTAAATCCAAATGATTTATTGTTAAAATTACAGAGTGAAGATGCCTACATATCTGTCTTATGAAGCATAACATTGTCCTTGGAGAAATGGTTGCATCCTGAAAGTTCATTTCTGTAGCATTTTGTTTATATCTTTTGGAGGGAAAATTCAGGAAACGGGCCATTTTTCTCCTATTACTGTATTGGTGTCAACTTGTTAGCTGAAATATTAACTCACATTATTGCTGTATTAGCACAAAGGAGCTTCAGGGAGAACACAATACCATTTTTGCTTGTACTTGCCCTCTGATTCTGATCCACGGGGCAGAGAAGATAGCAGGAATTAAGTGTCACTCCAGCTTCCATCTTTTCCAATTGCTCTGATGCACCTTATATTTGTTAGGTAGGAAGCTAAGACACTACTGTGTTGGTTGTGTAAGGGTAAGAAAGCATTATTGGCATTAATTCTGCCTTCCATTCCTTCCTCTGTCTTTCAGTAGCTGAGGATGGAAAATTTGTGTTGTCAAAAGACTGTCCTTCCTTATATGTCAAATCCTCAGGAGAGTTATACATATTTTCATGGTTTTATAGTTCAACAGTGAATACCTCTGCTACATGTGTGAGCTCCAGGAAGGGATAAAATTCTAGGGCAGTCTTTTCTAACCTGCGACTCTTCGGATGCGGGACTACAACATCCTGAATTATAATTGGTCCTGCTGGTGGAGAATTCTGGGTGGTATATTCTCAGCATATCTGAAGCTGCCCTAGATACAACTTGAAACAAAAGGAGCAGTATGCTCCTTCAGCAATCCATCGTGGCTTGGTATATTTAGTCAGCGTCCATTTCTTCTCATGTTTTTTTTCTTCAGAATTTGTTGTACGTATGATTTTGTTTTAGATACTTTGATAACTGACAGAATGTGTGTGTGTGTGTGCATGTGTGTGATGTCTGGTTTGTTGATCACAATGCTCTCCATTTCTGGAACAAGGGCAAATGAATGGGAGAATATATATTAAAAACAAAACAATAAAACAATAAATGATATTTTTAAATATTAAAAATGTTTAAAGCATTATTTTCTTCCAATTACATGCACAATTAATTTTTAGCCATTTCTTGGAAGTATAGAAGTGAGTACATCAAATGCATCTGCTAATCTTGCAATTTTAAATATTGCAACTGATGCTTAAATAGTGTTAAACTGACATTAGCATAAAATTCCCACCGTTTTGCAGCATTAGGATTGTCCCTCACTGAGTTTTACAATCACAGTATTTCCTCTTACCTGAGAAAAAAAAATTGAGAGGTGCTGCAGTGATCCCCAAAGGGGAGAATTAGATCAGTGATCCCTCTGCACACATGGACTACCTGCTGTTGCTGTGCATGAAGTAGAGGAATCGGATATGAAAAACACCAAGGGATATTAGCAGCAGGATGGCAACCCGGTGCCTTCCACACAGTCTGGACTAGAACTCCCTCAATCCCACACTATCAAGTAGGGTGGATGGCTGGCTAGAAATGGAAATGGAAATCCAAAACAATAAGGCTAACTTGGTAATTCCAGCATTTATAATGATGTATGATTGGTTAACTGATCCAGTCAACCAACTTAATAAGACTATAATTGATTAAACGAGGTCAAAAACAAGGTTACACTAACTACACAACACTACATTGTGCTATGGGGACACTTAAACTCAGTCATCATAGACCTGGACAGAGAAATGGCTGAAAAAGTCCCATACACATCTAAAAAGCAATGCTGAAACAATGTTCAAAACTCCCTAGTACCTACAATCTGCAAGGGAACCAAGCCATCCCCTCCAGATATGATCCTTGCAGATAGACTTCCAACAAAGCAAGAAATGGAGAGGAAAACAAAAAAGATTCAAAGAGACACAAAAACTTGCATGTGCTCCCAAATGCCAACAAACAGCCATCAAACAGAGCTGTTGTGCCCCCAAATTTTAAATAAGGAAGTAATCGTGTACAGTAAAAAACCAAGGCTAATTGCAAGCTATCAACCTAGCCTGGGAAGATTCCTCATCCCATGATGATCACAGAAACTTCACATATGGACATGAATTAGGTAAGACCAGGATATCATGAACTACATGGGATAATAATGAAATAAATAAATCTCCACAAGCATCCATCTCCTGCCAGGTAAGTGTTTAACAAAAGCCAGACAGCCCATCTAATCAGAAGGAAGCTAGCCAAGTGTAGCAGAGCCCAAAGTATTCCTCACCTGTCCACCCCCCTCAAGTCAAAACATCTTGTTAAAGTGGAGCTGGAGGGGGAAAGTGGGTGTCATCTCCCAGGATGTGCAAACTAGAAGCTTTGAACAGCTAAAGCAGGAGAAAGGTGGGAAGGCTTGAGCCACTAGCTTAGGAGGCCCACTCAGCTAGAACTGAAGGGAAGCCTTCTCTTCATCCTTTCTAATAGGGAAATTCTTTAGACGAAGACTGAATTTCCAAAGCAGGTAGAAGCAAAACAAAGTGGTTACTTGATAGTTAGAAGTCAGGGATGTAGATGCAATTTAGGAGGCAGCTTTGGAGAAATGATGGTCAAAATGGCATCAAGTCAAACATTCTTTGGCCAACCCTTTTAAATTTGTACAAGGCTAAGTTGCTTTGAATACATAGCTGTTTTGGATATTGATGTCCCTGTTTGTATGGTAAAAGCTTCAGTATGTTTGGAAAGAAATTCTAGCAGGGTTCCTAATTACTAAAAGATTAAGTAGACATTGAAGAAGCAGAGCCTAAACTGTGCTTGTGTCCCAGTTTCTGCTCTCTTCCTCACGTTGAAGACACAAAGCATTCATGACACTAAAAGTGTTGGGGTTTCAAGAAAAGAAAGAAATTAATATTTAACTACTGCTATAAAACACAGGGGAAGTGCTTAGGAAATTAGATGTCTTTTCAGAGATTGGATTTCTTACTTGGATGTATTTAAGAGACTTCTTGTATAAACACCCATAAGTGGTTAATGGCAAAGTATAAACACAATAAAACTCACACCCAGAAGTGTGTGCAGAACTGTTGGCATGAAGTCAAAGCCACTTTTAGAAGAGAGTAATAGTTAAGAGAGGACAGAAAGGATGACTTGTAGGTGTATACTGCTTCAACTCTTGGTACCTACTCCTGTCCAGCAGAATTGGGGGTGGTGGTAGTGAGAAGCCCCCTGGTTAGTTATTGTGAGTGACATAAGAACCTCATTCTCACAAAGAGGGTTTGCTTTAAAAGATAGGTAATTGCTGCTGAGGAGGATGAGAAAGGATAATGGATAATACTAGAGGTGGTAGTTCATTTTTCAGATGGTCACTGTATAAATATTAGGTATCATGTTTGACAGCAGAAGCACTGATGGGATATAGAACTGGGCTGAGAAGCTTATGCTAACTATTTTCATTGTCTCTGGTAGTTTTGTTCTATTCCTCTATTTTTTTTATTTGTCAATCTGTATGCTGCCTCAAATCACAAAGAGATTTTGGTGGCTTACAAAATAGGATTAAAACTTCAGTATAAGTAACTAAAAATAACAATAGCCACAAATTCAATACCTGACACAGCAAGTTGGGATAGAAAGTTACTTCCAGTCAGCTGCAGGCAATAAGGAGCTACTTCAGATAAGTGCTGTCTGTTAGCAGGGCCTATTTTAAATGGAAAACAAATAGCAAAAAGGAATCACATATAAACCATACATTTTTGGATGTGCTAAAGTATTTATTTAGTACATCACTTTAGACTACATGGATATTCCTCTGGGCAGCTAACAACACATTAAAATAATTTTTTAAAATAGCGGAATAAAAAACCCCCCAACAAAGATGAACCCAAGAAGATAAGAAGAAACCTCCTACAGCAGGGTTGGCAACAAGATGTATTGACTTCAACATGCTGATATGGGAATTCTGAGAGTTGGAAGTCCACATATTAAAGTTGAAAAACCCTGTGCCAGAGCATAAAATAGCTGTCCATTCCTATCCATAGCCTCTATTTTTTGGGGGGGGTATTCTGGGTTTATTCATGTGCTAACATGATAGAGATTTACCAGTAAGAAGACAGGTTGAGCAGTTCTATTCATATGTCAGTATTAAAAGATACCGTGATTTCCATTCTTATATTTGAGTATATTTTGCAGAGGCAATCTTTTTTGTGGTAGGAGGAAAATCAGGAGTTACAGCCCAAAGTGAATTTATTTATACAACTGCGCTATAAAGAGATGTGCATGGATACGAAGACAGAACTTTAATTATAACAGCATGTTGTCCTTTGCTGAACTCTAAATTTACATGGTGCAATGAAATAAATTGGAGTGGATCGTCACTTTCTACATCAAAAAGTATTTATAGTACAGTGCACTGGGAACATGTACAGTGTACATCTCTGGACAATTCAGAGTTAGTGTGATTGCATGTCTAAGGGAAAAACAGTTCTGCTTTATAATGAACAACATTCACAAGTTTGAATGGAGTTAGCAAAAATCTCATTACATTTCTGCACCTTATCATCCCACCACTTGACAGACCTGTTCAGACAACAGTTAGGCAATGATGGACACACCGTAGTATGCACCTATTGGTGAATGGTGGGTTCTTCTTGTTAAATCTGAATCAAAAACAATAAATGTGTTATATATTATATAATTAAAAGATAACACATTTATTGGTTTTGATTCAGACTTAACAAAAAGAACCCATCATTCACTAACAGGTATATGTATGTGCGTGTGTGTACCTATTTATATCTATACAATGTAGAATATATTAAATTATTTTCTATTCTTAGCATCAAAATAAGAAGAGAAACAGCAGAAGGAACAGGAGTAATCTAGCTATGAAAGGCATCTTGAATGTAAATTGTGATTTATCCACTATCACAATAACTGTTTCCTATGGCCAAGGCTTACATATTAATCTCCATATTTTTATTTTGGTATCAGGGTTTTTTAACTCGTAGTGACTGCCTTGACAAGTGCCTGCGGTTTTCTTTGCAGGGTTTTTCAAAAGTGGTTTGCCCTTGTCTTCTTCCTAAGGCTGACACAGAGAGAGACTAGCTCTCTCTTTAGGCTGACTTTGTGCTTGAAGAACTCCCAGACTCCTGATTTTAGTCTGGTGCCTTAACCACTATAGCAAACTGATTCAATTGCAGGATTTATCCTATCCAAAACAAAGTATTAAAAACTTATTTTGTTAAGAAAAGCCATGTGCTCCTGAAGCTGCCAGAGAACTTGCTACCATTCAGAGATAGAGTTTTAGAACATTGGGAAAGACACTGAAATTAAACAAGGTTTTTGAGATGGAATGAGCAGACAATATAATATAAAGTAGATGTATCTTAATTGCTTTCATATGCTTTGGACTTTGAATCCCATAATTTGAGAGCTGATGTAGTGAAATGGTTAAAAAGTTGGCCTAAGATCTGAGAGACCTAAGTTCAAATCCACACTTAGCCAGGGAAACTCATGCAGTAACCTTACACCAGCCACGTTTACTTACCATTAAAGTTTCTTGGGATGGTGATGGTGGGATTGGGAAAAGAAAGTATCATTATGTTGCCATGAGTTCCTGGAGGAAAGGCAACAGATAGGACAGTCCCCATTATCATCATGTTGGGTTAGGACAATATGAAGTTAGCTGCAGAAACTTCAGCTCTATGATTTCAAATACAGGCTAAACGTTGCAACATTTTAAAAATTCAGGACTATAGAAAATGGAGTTAAAAGTAAAGCAAAAGAAGAAACCTGCCAGAGTCCTTAGAATAAATTTCAGTTTAATCAAATATTCCTATCATTTTGTATTTTGCCATGTTTTTCTCAATTCAACCAAATTCCTTAGAGCAATTATTCTTGGAACAGAAAGTGTTATCAATCTATCAATAAAAGAAACAATGCTTTTTCACCTGGAGGTGTTTATATTTTGTCCATTCGTTTATCACAATATTGGGATACACACAACTACTTTCACAGGTTAGTATCTATCTGCTACAGAGATCCCCAAGTCTTTTTTTACTTAAATGGTACTGAACTGAAGGAATAAGATACACAATTATTTCCAGAGCTTTATACTGACATTATCCTCAAGTGTTAGGGGAAATTACAATTTAATTAACACAGGCTGTTTGTAGTAGAAATAATGGATACAAAAATGCTTTTTTGACAAGTTTGTGAATCTGAAATGCATAATATCTCCCATTTCAGAATCACAAAGAACTTTAAAATGAGCTTGTAACCCACTATTATTTTGGCAGAGGTTAAAACACACAGATTATGGTTTCAGCTATGGACTGTCAACTTCAATAGCTTAAAGTACTTACTGCTTGAAGGAAACTGCAGTTTCACACTGAAATACAAGTCAATATTAATTAACAACCCAGCCTGCAGCCATACATAACCATAGAAGGTCTGTGAGTTCATCTATTATCAACTTCATTTGTAGACTGAATTAGAGTAGGAGGAAGGAACCATTGGACCAAAGAGTATATTTGGAATTTTGAGAACAAGTTATGGGCATTTCCAGATCAATCTCTCAAAATGGCTGCTAGGCTGAGCCTTTATAGACAATAAGGAAGAGGACCTTGATAGAGTTGTAAAAACTTAGCATCCACCCATCTCCTAGAAGAATGAAATATTAAAATATTAATATTAATATTAATATTGAAATATTAATATTAAAAAGGCAGAATATTATATTTCCCTGGAGGAGAAATGGAGAAACATGTTTTTTTAGGCAGGAAGCAGATTCACTCTTAATAGCCCCCACCCTCTTCAATAGCCCATAGCAGATGTCAGCACTTAAGAGATAAAGAGATGTATAACTACTGACTTCATCAACCACAGTAGATCATATAATACAACATACTGCCCCCCTCCCCAGATTTTCGCTCGTACTATAAAGGATACTCAATCTCATGGAACCTATGAGAATAAAAAAAAAGTTGATCTGTGAGGGTCCTCTATGAGGACCAGAATATCTCAATTTAAAGCTCTAATCTTGTGGCAATGGTCCTACCTTGCAGTATTTTGCTGACCTGCCCTAGGATGCAGATTTATCTTCAATCAATATTAACCACTTTGAATTTGCAGTAGTCACAAAATGACAACTTTTCTAGTAATTGTAACAAAACTATAATTCTGTTATATATGGTATCCATAGTTCTCTTACATTCTATTACAAACCATAAATGTAACTACCATACTCCCCATATGCTACTAAACTCATCAATCACCTGGATGCTTTTGCAATCTGAACAAAATTTCACTGCATCCAAAATAAGCATTAGCTTCCAATTATTTGTATTTTGCAATATAGTCATTTCCCCAGCACAATGATTTCACACTGATGTTCAAAAAATCTAGTATTATATACTATTTCTGGTACAATATTACCTTTTTTGATGAGCAACAAAATTTTATGGAATGTATGAATACACTTATGAAGAGACTGTGATCTGCTGCATAAGAATTACATAAGAAGAATTCTGCTGGATCTAACCAAAACTGAGCACCCTGTTTTCCACAATAGCTATCAGGACGTAGTATTGATGGGAAATCAGCTAACAGACATGTGATCCAGAGCACCTCCCAATAGTTAACAACAGAATCCAAGCTGTTCTGTTGATGTCCAGGCTGTTTCTATAATGAGATGTCCTATATTTATTTTTAAATCATTCAATGATCTTCCAAATTTGCATCTATATTAGCACATGTTAGCAAACAGCACTCTAGTCTTTCAGTTACACATTTTATGGTTATATCTTTACCTTCCTCTCATTCTTTCAGATAACAGTGTGTTGTGATATGTTTGCTTACTCATAAGCTGCAGCACCCATAAGAATTATAGAAATGTCTGGTTTGCACATTATCAATAAAAATGTCCTGAATATAGGACAAAAGGGCAAGGACAAAACATTAAAATGCTTTACTATATGGTATCTTTGATTTACATGAAGAAAATGAAGACTGCTTGTTAATTGAAAAAAAAAATAGTAGTAAGCAGAGGGGGGCAGGAGGGAGGGACAAATAACAGATGAAGCCATTCTTAACCATCTTGATAGACTGCTGGAAGAACTCCTGGAATCTGTATCAGTGATATTAAAAAATGGAACTGGTTAGTTGTTTAATGACTTTGAGAACACACACACACTCTCTCTGTGTTCAAGAGAGAGAGAGATGAAACGAATCACTGGGTGTTATATAAAGAGAACAGGAAGGAGGCATTATGTTGTTGTATAATTCAATTTTCCAAGAACACTGCATTAGTCAGATGTCAGTTAAATAAAGATAGGGTGGAATATAGAATTTGCCTTTGTTATATTATGAAAGGGCGCGGCTACTTAATAACAGACTTAATTTTATGGGAGAAGCTGATGATCTTTTAAAGGCTTTTGATCTCTGCAAGTACTTTGAATGCTGCAAAACATGAGAATAGAGAGAGATTTCCACAACAGTTCTCTTCCCCACAAATTTTTTAACTGCTTTTCATAAATCTCCCTGAACTGGGACTGGCTTTTTGTATGGAAGCAAAAGGTAAGATTAACAAAAGAAATGATATTTTGTGTCTATGTTGGTGGAAGTTTGGACTGATACCCATTCAATTTACCAGAAGAGATATCTCAACAGAAAGCCAGGACATATTTTCAGAGAACCATG